CCCGTGCGGGCGTAGAATGTTTGAGAACAGCTGGTCTGGGAGTCCGTAGCGTTACTCCCCTTCTCTCCTCCACCCCACTCTCTCCTCCTCAAATGCGCGAATGTGGGGAGTGGGGGACCCCTTATCTCAGACCTGGAGAGATACCGGTCTCTGAGCGTGCCGAGCCGCAGGGGGCGCGGGGGAGCCCCTGGGCGCCGAAGGCTCGACAAAGTTGGGCGTGTACGTGTGAGCACCAGCCTCGAGCTATCAGGCAGCCACTGTGGTTCCCCTCGAATTCCCCCTCCAGAGAATTCCCCGAGAAGGCGGGCACCGGCTTCGGGCCCGGGATAGACCAACAGCGGCGGGGACGGCCATGCACAGGTACAATTTAGCGCCTTTCGTTGCGCGCTCCCAGCCCCCGGGGTCCATCCACTGCAGCGCAGACCGAGCGGGATCTTGGAGTCTGGGCCACTGAGTCGCTCAGTCCGGCCATGGGGGTGGGGATTGGGGCGTGGCGAGGGGGTCCCCAGGCTTTCCTCCCCTAGCGCTCAGCCTTCGCATCCCAAAGCCTCTGGTAGCTCCTGCTTGGCCTCCTAATACGAAGGGTCAAGCCGCAAATAGAGCCGCGATCCCTGGACTGTGGCCCGCACTACTGAACATGGACATGCATATTAACCAAAGCTGAGGGACGATGGACTGGGCGAGGAGGAGGAGGACGAGGAAGAGGAGGGGAAGAGGAGGAGGAAGAGGAAGAGAGGGGACGAGGAGAGGGAGAGGGAAATGGATGGGAGAACGCGACTCCGGGAGGTGTTGCTTCCCAATGCTAAGCGGCCCTGCGCTTCTCAAACTGAACTTGGGAACTTGCACGTTGGAAACAGGAAGTCGTGAGCTGGGAAATCCTCCTTTTTTGGTTTCTCTTCTTCCTTCCATCAGACTAGACACTCCTTCCTATAGTCCCTTAGCAGCACCTAAAACTGCTGCGCCGCCCAGCCCGGGGTTGCAACCGCTCTGCTCCGCCCGCGCTCCGTAGGTCCTTCCAGCCCTCTGGACTCTCCTTCACTTTCTCTGCTCACCCTCGCTATTCCCCACACCGCTCACTGCTTCCGAAGGCTCCTCTTGGGCGCCCAAGTTCACCAGCAGCAGCAGCCAGCACCTCCCCACGCCACTCCGTGCTGCCTTCCCCTGGAGGGACATATTGGGAGGGGCTAGAAATTCCCCTGCTCCGCTCCGCTCGTGCCCTTCCCCCAGCATCTGCAGCGCTTTGCTGATTCACGATGATCGCGGAGGGAAAAACCTCATTGACTTGTGCCCCTGCAAGCGGCGAGGCGAGCGCGGGGGGCTGCTAGGGCACC